TCTCCTGCCTTCGGGAAGYGGCCTCGCCTCATCCCGAAGACAGGAGAAGAGGGGGAGGCGGCGGGCGAAGCAGTTTCAGGCCCACTTCGCCAACCCCTCCGCGGGCCTAGCCTCCTCTTCTTCTCCCTTCAGGATGAGGTCTGCCCTCATCCTGAAGGGAAGAGAAGAGGGGGAGGTGAAGGGCGAAGCAGCTTCGGGCCCGCTTCGCCCACCCCCTCCGCGGGCCCAGCCTCCTCTCCTTCTCCCTTCAGGATGAGGTCTGCCCCCATCCTAAAGGGAGGAGAAGAGGGGGAGGCAACGGGCGAGCAGCTTCTGGCCCGCTTCGCCCACCCCCTCCGCGGGCCCAGCCTCCTCTTCTTCTCCCTTTAGGATGAGGCCTGCCCTCATCCTGAAGGGAGGAGAAGAGGGGAAGGTGGCGGGCGAAGCAGCTTCGGGCCCGCTTCGCCCACCCCCTCCGCGGGCCCAGCCTGCTCTTCTTCTCCCTTCAGGATGAAGTCTGCCCTCATCCTGAAGGGAGGAGAAGAGGAGGAGGCAGCGGGCAAAGCAGCTTCGGGGCCACTTCACCCACCACCTCCCAAATTTTATATTTTAAGTGTGGTTTTTTTCTTTTTGCACTGCAAATACGATATGTGCTGTTTTCATTGGAATTAATTCATTTTTTCCCCAAATTATAATCCGGCCCTCCAACAGTTTGAGGGACTGTGACCCGTCCCTCTTTTTAAAAAGTTTGAGAACCCCTGCCATAGACCATGGTATTCTTCTGGGACGCCTCGTGGGAATGGTTCTTGGTGGTACTGTTTTGCAGTGGCTCTGGTCCTTCCTGGCGGGTTGTTCCCAGAAGGTGTTGCTAGGGGACACCTGCTTGGCCCCTTAGCCATTGCCTTGTGGGGTCCCGCAGGGCTCAGTACTGTCCCCTATGTTGTTTAACATCTGCATGAAGCTGTTGGGAGAGATCATTCAGAGTTGTTAATAATAATAATAATAGCACCACCACCACCACTTCATTTATATTCCGCCCTTCTGTCCCCGAAGGGGACTCAGGGCACATATACATAGCAAACATTCAGTGCCGCTTTGTATAGACAATACACAGACAGAACAGAAGGAGGTGGTTTGTTTCAGCTTTTTTTGGTGCCACGGAAGGTTGGGCTCGAGTCCAGGGGGTGCTGTTGCTCTATCCTGATCGACGAAGAGCCATCAGGGCTTCCTCCTTCCCTTTGGTCACCCAGCATTTTCTGATCTTTCTTTATGGCGCCATAAAACACCTCCCCCGCTTTTAGCTGTACCTAATTTCTCTAATCACAGCTGTTTTAGAATTGCTTAGGTAAACAATGAGCTATGCTGACAGTTGGCAACTCACGCCAACCCGGAGCTTTGAACTTATAACCTTTTGGTTGATAGATCTTATAATTGCTGATGATTTACCAGCTGAGCTAAACTTGTGGAGTTTGCAGTTATTTGTACGCAGATGACGTACAACTTTACCAATCCTTTTCACTTGCAACTAAGGGGGCTGTTCTGGTCCTAAACTGGTGCTTGGCAGTTGTGATGGTCTGGATGAGGAAGAACAAATAGAAATTGAATCCAGACAAGACCGAGGTACTCCTGGTCAGTTGAAAGACCGAACAAGGGATAGGGTTACAGTCTGTGCTGGATGGGGTTACACTCCCTCTGAAGGCACAGGTTTGCAGCCTGGGATTGCTGGACTCATCGCTGAGCCTGGAACACCCTAGGTTTCAGCGGTAGCCAGGCAAACCTTTGCACAATTAAAACTTTTGCACCAGCTGTGCCTGTACCTTGGGAAGCCTGACTTTGCCATGGTGGTCCATGCTCTTGTTACACCGAGAATAGATCACTGCAATGCGCTCTACATGGGATTGCCTTTGAAGACTGTTCAGAAGCTTCAAGTATTTATTTATTTATATTTATTTCAGGCACTTCTACCCCGCTCTTCTCAACCCCCAAGTGGGGGACTCAGGGTGGCTTACAACCGGCACAATTCGATGCCAACAATTCAACAGATAAAATACATAACAGCAGTAGCCACAATAGTTAAAAACAACCAATTAATAGAATAACAACTAAAAAGCCAATCTAGTGGCCAAACGTTCACCGAGTTCTAAAATCCATAAGTCCATTCAGCATTACCATAGTCCTTTCCAAATTCTGGTTGTCATTACCTTGTCAGTCTGCCAGATTACCCAAAGGCCTGGTCCCATATCCATGTTTTCAGCTTCCTTCTGAAGGAGAGGAGGGATGTTGATGACCTAATTTCCCTGGGGAGTGAATTCCACAGGCGAGGGGCCACCACTGAGAAGGCCCTGTCCCTCGTCCCTACCAGCCTCCCTTGTGATAGAGGAGGGCCAAGAGCAGAGCCTCCCCAGAAGATCTCAAACTCCGAGGTGGGACATAGAAGGAGATATGTTCGGACAGGTACGCTGGGCCGGAGCAGTATAGGGTTTTATAGGTCTAACAGTAGCCAGATTTCTCATCAGAGCGGGGTACGGGGAGCACACAAAACCCCTGTTATGTCAGCTGCACTGACTTTAGCCTATATAGCCCTAAACGGTTCTGGCCCACCTTACTTGTCTGAACATATCTCCCTCTGTGAACCATCATGGAGATTGAGATCTTCTGGGGAGGCCTTGCTCTTGGTTCCGCCTCCGTCGCAAGTGCGGTTGGTGGGGATGAGAGACAGGGCCTTCTCAGTGGTGGCTCCTCGGCTCTGGGACTCCCTCCCCAACAATATTAGATCAGTACCCTCCTTCCTGACCTTTAGAAAGAGAACAAAGGTTCAAGCTTTTGACTAGTAAAATAATGCATTACAAAGAATAATTAAGGAACATGTGTAGTGACAACTGGAATGGCTAAGGTGCACGATTTTTTGGATCACGTGATTTTAATATTATACTAGGATGTTTTTAATGCTTTGTCTTAATGTTTAAATTTTGTTTATGTCTTCTGTTTAATTGTTTTAATGATTTAAAGTCAAAGTTGTATGTAGCATTTAGTTATTATGACTATTTTGTTTTACTGTATGTAGGCATTGAATCTTTCCCATTAGTATGTTGTAAACTGCCTTGAATCTCTCCATGGATGAGAACGGCGGTATACTAAATGTAGTAAATAATAAATAATAAAATACATACATTTCAAAGTCTTTTTCACTGTGGGAAGAAATTTGCAAAAAAAACTGATTGCTTCCTTTGAAAACAAAATTAGTGAAAAAGTACATCCCTACTTGGACTGTATAGTTAACACTGGTGTGGTAATTCTGCTTCATCCACTGCATTTTGATGACCATAGCATTCTCTTGACCAGAGCATCAATGCATAGATGATGTGTGGAAGCAAATGCTTTATTGGTGAAGATTGGTTTTGTTGGCCAGAATGAGCGACAGAACAATGCTCTTCTTTCTTAGCTAGCATGTATACCTGGTCTCTTAGAAACACATACACATGCAGCCATTTGCTTTCCCTATTCTGATGGAGAACAGGAGACAGTCCAAGGGAAGCAGGATCTTCTTTGTGGCTGTTTTAGAAATCAGAATAAAAACTTGCACTATGGAAAATTTGTTGCCAAAAACCAGACTGTGTGCTTCCAAGCTTTCCCACCTCCCACTAGGCAGCAGCAGGCAATTTATACCTTTTATAATTAAGAGTTAATGCAAGAACCAAGCCAATTGCCCCTTTAAACAGCTGGTAGTCAAGAGGAGACATTTGTTACTTTAAATAGAAGCCCTGACAAAGCAAAGTGTACAATCATCACCAAGTAGAATTACTTTTTAAGTGTCCATAAAAACCAGCAGGCTGTAATTTCACTTCATTTGTACCTATCTCAAGGTGTTCACTACATCCATGCAGGGAAGAAGAGCCAATTTTGAGCATCTCACATTTTTGCATCATTCCACTTATGTAGTAATAATTTCAGAGAGCTAGGAAAGGACAATCATAATAATAATGGGAATTGATTTTTTTTTCTCTGGGGGGAAGGCTAAAGCTGTGACTTTGGCTTTGTGGCACATAAAAGAAGAGACTCCTGACAGTACAATCCTATCTGTCCTTACTGCTAGTTTTTGCAGTGTACTTCCTCATATAGAGGTGGGTAACTTGGGGACCAATGTTCTCCCTTTGGAGTTCATGGGAAATGGAATTACATAAACTTAAGGGGTTGAGAGTTGGGAAATGCTTACCTCAGCCCAAGATGTGAGTGGATATGATAACAATTATAAAATTGTTATGCATAGAACAGAGAGTGCGAAGCTCCCCCCCCCCCTTCTACCCAATTAAATTGATTGACAGTTGATCCAGGACAGGCAAAAAGGAAATGCCGCTTTTCATGGCATGTGATTGATTTAGGGAATTGCCTGTGATGAAATGCAAAGACTTCAATGAGGTTTAAAAGAGGATTAGACAAATTTGTGAAAGAGGAGCAGAGGCCTATCAAAACACTAGAGCTTGAAGAAGTTACTCATGTGGATTCCAGCTGCCAGAATTCTGGGAGGTTTTGCAAAACAGTTACAGTTACAAAACACGTGTTGAATATGAGTAGGAGTTGAATATGAGTAGACCACATGCTGTTGAATATTATTAGAGTAGTAGCTGACGGCTGTTGCCTCCTGTGTGAGCACCTCAGAGGTATCTACCTGATCAAGGTGGGAAGGAGAATCCTGGATTAAATAGCCATTGCTGCAACCCAGACCTGTTGATTGCAGGATGGCTAAAAAGTGCTGATCAAGAATCCTGGTTTGTGATGCATGTCTATGACTTACCTTCTTCTAGGTTGAATTTGACCAGTATAACATAGGAGACTGACTTGTAATGAATCAGGCCATTGGTCTGTCTAGTTCCCCAGCCCAATACCCATTTAATGAATTTAGGACTACACCTCTCATTATCAGTGTTCACACTCTGTTGCTTTCAGGGAGGAATTTCTCTTCTTGAAGATGCCAGGGGCTTTGACTCATCTCTAATGTTCAGTTTCCTTTGTTTACCTTGCAGTCACAGCATGAAGCAGCCAGTATAATGAGGAGAAACTATAGGATTCTTTAGGATTTAACAGAACAGAGTCTGGAGATTCGTAAGAAAACAGGAAGGCTTTCCAGATTTCTTCTACAATGTCTGGATCCACTCAGCCTGTGACCCAGTCGTGGCGGGGAACCGAAACCCGTTATCCTCCGCACGCTATGTCCTATCCAATGACAATAAGTCAGTCACATATGGTAAGTTTTCTTTGTTCTCTCTTCCTTCTGTTCCTGTCTGCTATATTAGTTAGATTAGCATTATCAAACTGGGTAGGAATGTAAATATTTAATTGTTTCACTCTCTCTTCAAGGCTCAGGATAATGTTTTTGGAAATTTTCACCTAGAATTCACATATCCTGAACTGTTTGGGAGAAAATATTCTGTGCAGAAATGCATATGCATGAACATAGTGTGGGTTGTATACAGAATTGCTTTTTGTGTTTGTGAAACACTAAGTTTGCACTAACAATTGTGTTTTTGCAATTTTTGCACACACAGCCATTATTTTTGGACAACTATGTGTTCAGAATATTTTCTTGGAAAACTTCATAATGTTCAAATAGCCTTGGTGAAGACTGTACACAATTCTTGCCATTGTGTTATTTTTCCAAGCTGAACTTTCCAAAACCTCATTTTTCATCCAGGAAATGAGTAACAGTGAATATTGTTTCCATTTTTTCTCTGGATATCGCTGGTTGCTCTCCGGATTCTGATGTGCAGTTCAGGAAACTGGTGGCTTTGAGAAGGAAAATGTGTCTCATTTGGAACCATGTTTACCGCAATCCATCGTAAGGAGGGCTTTTCTGTTCCAGTGGCTGCTGTGTGACTGGTTTTTCCATTGAGATGAGAAGAACTTCTATTAGCATTGAGTCTGTGAGCACTGGCTGAAGTTATATCCATTTGTCGGAGTTATTTTTCTGGTGTCAATATTTGTCTGTTATCCCTGGGATTTCATGAATTGATTCAAAATGATTTTTTATTGTTTTATGCTGATTAAATTATTTTTAGCAGTTGCTTTTATTGTAACCATTGTTATGTAAAAATGAAAATTGATATAAAATGTTCTTCTTTGTACTGTCTGTGAAATGCGGATGTATGGGTTTATCCCCGCGCATGCGCAGCAAATTCGGACATTTAAAGCTCATTAAAGAATTTTAGCGAAGCTCCGCCCATCCTCCCAGTCATATAAAAGGTTCCATGGGCGGAGCTACCTTAGTTCCTCTTTCCGCGCCAGCAGCAAAGACACGGACATCACTCTCTCTCCAATTCATTGACTCTATTTAATTGACCTCGGACTTCCTAGACTACTCTCCCTTCTCCAATCCCTGACTCAGAATCTAGATAAGGCTATGGCTTCTTCTTCTTCCTTTTTTTAAAAAAATGCTCCGCTTGTGGAGCCAATCTCCCTGAGGCAGATAAACACTCTAAATGCCTCCTATGCTTGGGCGAATCGCAAAACCGCCAAACGTGCGAGATCTGCAGGGCCTTTACCACCAGAGCCCAAAAAAGCAGAGATTCACGCTTAAAGGCTTGCCTTTACGAGCAGGCTTTAGCACCAGATGATCCCCGCCCTTCTCAGCCTGGGGATCAGTCCCTCCTTCTCCAACAGGAGGCCCAGCCTGCCCAGACCCCTCCCACCCAGGAGGAAAATACTCACGCCGCGGTTTCTCTCCCAGCTGCAGAACCGCCGCGAAAGAAAACAAAATCTTCAAAACAGCCTTGTCAGCGCCCAAGCAAAAATCTAAAGACAAACAAGATAAAACTCAGGGACGGCAACTCACTGGCAATCAGCCCTTGAGCCCTCCCACATTAGAGCTCCTGGCTCAGCCACTTCAGCTGCTCCAAACGGGGCGATATCAACCCTCTCCCTTTCTGGAGATCGAAAATCCCCCTCAACTCCTCCCTTTTGAACTTCTCCTCCCAGCTCGGTACCGACCATGAGGCTGCAACTGCTCTCCCTGATTCTCCTCCCTCCCTCCCTCCAGCACAACTTCCTTCTCTTCAACCCCCCTCCCTCCCCGGTACCAGCAAACAACTCTGAGCTTCCTACTCCGCCACGTGACAGGCGCTCGCGGCAAAGGAGATGATCTCCTTCTTCCTCCCGGTCCCGATCCAGGTCCAGGAGCCCCTCGCGCTCCTCCTCGAGGCATCCAGGTCGCTATCCTGACCCTCGATTCCCTTACCCTTGTGACTATCCCTACCCAATCTACCCTCCTCCTTTCCCCTTCTACCCGGGATTTTACCCTCCAGGAGAACCCTTCTGTCCTCCTCCTCCCCATGCTCCTTCATCCTCTCGCCCACCCCCTTCAGCCTCCATAGCAGCCCCTCCTCCTGCTGTTTCCTCTCCTCCACACACACCTATTCCTCCTTCGGCCCCTGCCTTGGAAGACCCCCTCCCTGAGGACAATACTATTGATCTAGATTCATCCACTGACACTCCCCCCCCCAGACCCAGACCCAGAAATAACACCAGAAGATTACCAGACCTTTTATTCACCTTCCAAACTCTCCCAATTTTAAGGTCAAGCAAAACGATCCAAAAATGGCAAAAAGAAATACTTAGATTTATTTGGAAGGGCAAAAAACACAGAATTAGCGCAAAGAAGTTAATCGACGAGAAAAAAAGAGGTGGCCTGGCCTTGCCAGAGCTACAATTATACTATGATTCGGCGGCCCTGAGTTGGACGAGAGACTGGGGAACACTATCGAAGAGAAGAATCCTCGCATTAGAAGGCTTTGACTTAGTTCAAGGCTGGCATTCCTATCTTTGGAGGGGGAAAGATAAGAAGGAAAAAAACTTCAAAAACCACCCAATCCGCGGCGCACTAATACATGTGTGGAACAAATATAAAGACCTATTCCATCAAAAAACTCCGATGTGGTTTTCGCCAAATGAAGCCTATCATAAAAGGGAACTCCCGAGAGAAAAATGGYTGACATATAAACAACTAACCATAATAAAAAACCGAGAAGTGYTYCTCAAAACCCAAGAAGAACTGAAACASATAGACCCAACGATATCGTGGTTTCAATTCCACCAAATAAAAGAGAACTTCAGAATCGACAAAACAAAAGGCTTCGAAGAGAAAGACACATTCTGGGACAAGATTCTGAACACAGAAACAAAGCTAGTCAGAAAGCTTTATAACCAACTATTAAAATGGAACACAGAGACCGAACTAATAAAGGACAATATGATCAACTGGTCAAGAGATGTTGGACGCTCCATCCCATTAGAGAAATGGGAAGAAATCTGGCAAACAAAAATCAACTATACATACGCGACTGACATCAAGGAAAGTTGGTACAAAATCTTTATTAGATGGTACCTAACACCTGAAATATTGAAAAAAATTAGTAAAGGAAAAACTAAGGACCTCTGCTGGAAATGCGAAAAAGAAAAAGGCAGCCTCATACACATGTGGTGGGGCTGCAGAAAGATTAAAAATTACTGGCTGCAAATCCATGAGAGTATAGAAGATATATTAGACATAAAATTTAACCCTACCCCAGAGACTCTATTTCTAGGAATACACGACATAAAAATGGAAAAAAACAAAGATAAATTTTTTTTCTGTTTAATTACTGCCGCAAGGATGACATTAGCCAAACTATGGAAAGCGAAAGATATTCCAACAGTAGATCAGTGGATAATGAAGACAATGGATATAATTAATATGGATATCCTGACACAAAAAATCTCCASTAGTTACAAAAAACCCAAAAAAACGGATTGGAAAGCCGTCCTAGACTTTATAAGAAAAYGTAACGACGGATTACATATTATAGACATGTAAACCCAAGGGAATTACCAACAAAAAAATAGGTCATGATACATCTATTTGCTTATCACAAAAACAGTAAAGCTAGCAGCTTAACAATCTTGCGATTATACAAGGGGTTAACAACAATAATAATTGAATGTAATATTAGTTAACCACCACTTAGTAACTTAATAAAAAAAAAGGATGAATTGTATAATGGCGGATATAGGAAAAGTGCCAACCTGGTCTTACCTGGAAGTAAACCCCCCCCTACCCCCACCTTCCCCAGACTTCGGTCCTCCCTCGATTCAACACACCACAATCCCCCTCCCTCCCTACCTCCCCTCCCTAACCCTATTGTCTATGTACCTTCCCCTATACCCTTCTGCTGTTTTTTACTGTAAATCTGAAAACGAAATAAACATAATTAAAAAAAAAAGAAATAACACCAGAAGATTTTAAAAACTTCTCAGCCCTTTTGATCAGGCTATCAAGGGCCCTTAACATCACATCCTCTGAATCCACTGATGTGGTTCAAGATCCATATTTCCCATCAGCTGAACAACAACAGCCTCAAACATCTACCTCCCTTCCTACCATTCCCTACCTCTTAAAACTACTAAAGACTACAGGCATAGCCCCACACCTGGTTCCAGCCACCCCCAAAAGGACAGAAAACTTATATCGCATTGACCTTTCCACTGCCCCTTGGCTTTCAAAGTTGCCCAAAGCAAACTCTATTGTCGCTAATGCTCAACCAAAGCCAGTCCAAAGAAACCAATCAGTCCCTTCTGACAAAGAAGGGAGGAAACTTGATGCTATGGCAAAGAAATTCTATTCCTCTGCATGCCTCTTTGCTTGTATCGCACATTATGGCGTTTACCTGAGCATTTACCAAACTTTCCTCTGGAATAAACTTGGCCCTTACCTTGACTTACTACCACAAGCTGACCAAGCAATGGCAAAAGCATTTAGACAAGAGGCACTCCTTTTATCCAATGTCCAGAAAGACCTGGCTAAAAATACTGCTGACTCTTCAGGCAAACTCATAGCGGGAGCAGTCGCTCTGAGACGCCATGCCTGGCTCAGATCCTCTACTCTCTCAACCTCACAACGCTCGTTCATTGAAGACCTCCCTATGGATGAGACTGGCCTCTTTAACCCAGAGACCGATTCTCAACTAGAACACTCTCACAAAATGAATCAGACTGTCAATAAATATGGCAACCAACCATACCAACCCTACAACCGTCAAAGATGGGGAACATGCTACCACTATCCTCAACCTTATTGGGGCCACTACAATCCCTCTTCATACAGAGGCAAACAACGCCCTCAATTCCCCACTACGGGATCCAAGAGACCTCCTCCTCTCTTTAAGGGTCAGTACCGGGGCTCCAAACTACCTGACAATAAGAAACAGCGCTTTTAGC